GGGGGTGAACGTCAGAAGCGTTATGTGTACAAAAGAAACCATAAATGAAAGAGTAGATATTACATGATCCCATCCATATAAAATACTGAAAAAAAGAAAAAAGCAAACCTGTCTATGGTGACCAAGAGCAAATCAGCAGGGTAAAGGATGGACTGCGAAGGGCTGTGAGGACCCTTTCAGGGGCCACGGGCATGTTCTCCATGCTGACCACGGAGGCGGTGTATGCGGCTATCAAATAATCCCCGAGTTACAGATCTAAGCAACTGCAGTTTATTGTACTTTGCTAATGCTAATCTTAAAAAGCTACCAAGGTATTCTTAAACTGTGCCCTCTTTATCCTTCTGGACAAAATATTCCTCAAGCAAGCAGACATTAACAAAATTATCTGACAGACTTGGGATGTTTTTCTAAGTATCAATACGCAAGCACAGGATATTAAAAAGCCAGGCGAATTACTTTTTTCTGCCACTAGATGGCAGAGGCAAACAACATAATGTTCCTGTAATGGTGGAAGGACGGAAGGCAAAACTTAAAAGTAGAAATGCAAAGTAACAAAAGATGACGAAGTGATGACAAGGGAAAAAAATCCAACTATAACGCACTCAAAAGTGCATATATTTAACTCTAAGCCACACATATTTAGTTCCTTATTTTATGAAGAGTTATTGGTGGCTGATATTTCATATTTGTGGACTGAACAAATAAGTGGAAGGGAATGACCCCTTCTGGGAGAAAACATACTGCAGGAAAGAATTGTTCTTCAGGGAAAACCATGCAGTGGCTACAGCACACCTGACAGGGCTGGTCCCACAGGGTTAGAATTTGTCTTTGAGCCGTTTTGTTCTTTTGTAAATTCAATGTAACCAATAGGCATGCTAACTCCAGTTCCAGAATTTGTACTGACTTCCCACCACCCGCTAGAAAAACCAGTGTTGCCTTTACTGGCAATTCAGTTCCTTTACTACATATGAATTTGTACCTTTTGACTTTTTCTTTGAACTGGTTAAGATGTCTGTCTGGTTCCCTCATGTGAGTAAAATAAAAATCTTTAGCACATGTTCATCTTTATTACCTGTAAAATTTCTTTTTATTTCTGAAAGTTATGTTTTAACAATATTTCTAAAGAAACAAGCTTATTAGAAACAGGGATTTCTCTAAACCTGAGAATTGATATAATATTTAGCATAGAGAAATATAAAGCTGGAATACCAGGAAAAATAGAAGGTTAAGACCAAGCCAAGAACCAAAGTCTGATCTAGCCTCTTTAAAAATTGGGACCAGGGCGCAGGGGTTCTAGGGAGGCAGATCTCACACGACCATCCTTGCAGTTTGAATCCTGGTCCCAAAGGCTTCAAAATCCTGGCAGGATGGAGAAACAGAGAAGGGATGGCAACCTGACCGTGCCCCACTGGTGGTTAGTGTGTGTGTGCGGGGGGCGAGGTGCCTCTCCTCCTCTCTCTCTGGCAAATGCACACATCTTCTGGCAAATTAAAACAAAATCTTCAATCTACGACAAACCCTATCTAAAAAAAAAAGAAAAAGAAAAAAAGTGCAAGCAAAGCTAAGCGAAGATTTTAGAAGCATGAATGAGTATTGCTTCCAGCATGTTTATAGGGCTGGGCCCTTTGGCGGGTCTAGACTAGGTAGTCTGACACCGGAGACACAGGCACTAGATTAGGGCTGGGCAGCCAGGCGAAGCCAATCAGGACAATTTGGATTTGGGACTGAGGGACAGTTTTGGGGGGGAGGGGCACCTGTAAGAAGAATCTGGATCTGGAGTGAGCCTGTGCACAATCCCTCCCAGGCCCAACCTGTGCCCTGGAAAGATGCCTACATTTTATGAACATTCCTGAGGTTATGAACACAAGTGCTTTCAAGTCAGATAGGTCTTACCTTGAAATTAAACATCGAAACTACTAGAGTGTGAAGGAGGTAAGCTGGTTTCTCCAAAATTCAGTTTCCTCGTTTGTTACAAGGGAAACCAACTCCTTTTCCATGCAGTGGCTGTGGCATTTAAATGAGGCAAATCTGCACGTGGCCCTGCACGTGAGAAAAACACAGTTCCTGGCACTAATGATCTCCAAGTTTGATGATACACGGCCAGTAGTTCTTTCCTGTGATGTTCGTCAGAATTACCCAGAAAAGTTTTTCGTTTTTTCTTAAAGGGCACGTGCGCTTTCCAGAGAGACACAAAGAAGGGAGATGAGAAAGTGCCCCCTCCATGGAGTGGAGTCATGCCACAATCCCTTCCCCTCCATTTCTCCCTCCTTTTGGATTGTGGGTGTGCGTGCACACGTTCTGCATACCGCCAGGCCTAGGACTCAAACCACGCACTTGGCCATGTGGGACCTGGCTGCCTTAACCACTAGACTACGGAGCTGACTCACCTGGGAAGGTTTTTCGAAATACACTCCAGACTTAGAGAATAGGAGTATCTTAGCGTGGGTGCTGGGCACATGCAGTGTAACAAAGCCCCACAAAAGGTCACCCTGCACACAGCACCTTTCCAGTCCCGTCGTTTCTTAGGGTCACTTTGGGTGATCATACCCACATCTTTGGCTTTAACCAACTTCTGTGTACAGGAGAGGACCTGAATTAATGCAGTTACAGTGGCAACGATGAGAGAATTCAAGACATTTATGTGGTACTGAGATAGGAGTTAGAGCCACCCACAGGCAGAGAGGGTAAGGGCCCCGAAAGGAAGCCCCTGTGTATTTCTTTTTAATGAAGTCTCTAT